TTTCTTCACCCGCTTCACGGCAAGTAAAGCCTCGCCGTGGCGCGATCCATAACTTTCAAAAGCTCATCATACGCAGGGCAGGAGGATTGGGAAGGCTCAGCCTCAGCTTCTTTGCCCTTCTCAGATATTTCCTGCTTTTGCTGGACCGAAACCAGCAGAGCACTGGCCCCTGGATCAGACAATGTTAATGAAATAACATCATCCTCCAGCGGCTCACTCTCGTCCACAGCCGACGATCGCAAGAGGGAAAACCCTCTCTTCAAACTCATCGGCCAGATCCACCTGCAATCCCAATGAGCGCATTCTCCTCCGTGCCTCAGCAGCGGCGGGTCCTGAATCACGGGAAGCAGATGGCTGCCCCTCTTTCCTCGAAAAGAGAGACAAACGAGAGCAGAGCTTTTTCATTGGAAAAACGCTCGCAGTGCATGCCGATTGCCCCCTCGGAGACATCGCGTGCGTGCTCTTCGCCCGTACAAATAACGCATAGATCATGTGTTTATCGGATGTTTGACAACGACAACACGGATGCACACATCCTCTTAAATGCTTTGCTAGTGCTCGCCATATTGATATGAATAGATCGCTCTTACCACAGAAATGCACGCTTCAACTGTTGTATATTTCTCCTCCCCATACATAAATCAACATGTCATCTCATCAGGCACATGGTCCGAGTTTTCGTGATCGTCACTGGTTTACCTGTGATGGTCATGCTGTGCATCTCTGACCATTAATCTTGATTACTTGCCCCAAAATTGACAATCTCCTTGGAATTGTCAATACGTCTTCTTCCCCATAGCGACCCCTAGAGGACGCAGTTCGAAGTTCCCATGAAAGGGAACTAATATTATACAATTTGATTTTGAATTTTATAATTTAAAATAGTGAATATTAAAAATGTTATTTTTGGGCTTCTTATAAAGTCATTTATAAGAAATGAATCTATTCACTTCAATTTCTCATACACAGTCTGCTTACATGCTTTCTCAATTTGCTTCTAACTTTTATTGTGGAAATATATTTTGCCAATAGCAACTATAGGCGCTTTCGCACCGCATAGTTCTAGGACTTTTGTGATAATGGAGATGGAATGTAGACGCACAATTTACACAATTTAGCTCAAAGGGAATCATTTAAGATTTTAAAGGGAATTTGTAGATAACCAACAGGCTCATCAAAGTGTTTGATCCAGGCCTGATACACTTCTTCATTTCTCAAAAAAACCCAGCCACCATTGTCATAGCTATTTCCAGCCCTATTTAGAGCCAGATCACCCCTGCTGCCTCTACCACGTCTCCCGGCTCTCCCACGCACAGCACGGCCACGTCTACCGCAGCCACTCCCACTTCTTTGGGGCAGCTAGTGCTACTTCCAGCCCTATTTCTCCAACCCCTGTTGCCTCTACCTCAATTCAGCGATTCATTGAACGGGCCGTATAACATCAACTCTGCAATGGATATTAATATCCAAAATATAGTGAAAACACTATTAATTAGCACAGTAACAAGATCGGCAGTTTAAGACATTAACTTGTAAGCACAAAACACAAGATACTTCTCTTTTCAATATAAATAAGGCTTTATTGGATAAATCGAAGACATGTAAACTAATCTGACACATGAACACACGCATTCACACATTCACACAAGTTGCAGAAAGCAAGAAAGTAAGGAAAGAATGAGTTTAAGGAAATGAAAATGTGAAATCCCAAGTTTACAGCAATATGTGAAAATGCATAGACATGAACAACCATCAATCACTTAATTAACCCTCGCATTGAGTTCCTCAATGAGGTTAAACTTTATATTAAATGCACCAGTTCAGCTAGAATCTGGAGGTACTTGCGTTGCCTGTGTACGGGGGTTCCCTTTGTTGTCGTCCTTGCAGAACAGGGGGTTTCCCACGGTCGCTGATTGGCTGGAAGTTCAGCCTTGGGAAGCCAGTGGTTGGGCGTTGGCTGACGACACAGAGCTGTGGTCTGGTTAAAGTTTTAGAAGGCACTCGAGGTCGGACTCGGAGACACGGCGTTAGGCAAAACTTAACTCAGAATACGAAACTCTCAACGGAAAATAAAAGAAACTAAAGTAAAGAAATAGAAGTAAAGTTTGACGAGACTAGGTGGCGTTTCTCCTCATGGTTTTGGAGGAGCTGGCGTGTAAGCCAGAGCACGCTCAAAGAGCGCAAAAGTTGATGACTGAAAGCACGGCTAGAAAAAGGCAAAAAAGAGAGGAGAGAGAGACATGACTAAAAAAGCGTAAAGCTAAAAAGGGCTGATTTGATGGTGTCCTGAGTATTTAAACTGGGCTTTTGGACACATCCCAAATGGTGCTTTGACCAATTAGATATCGTCTTTGCTGGGGTGTTGTATATTTCTCCTCCCCATACACTTGTTTGTGCTTCGTGAACACTCGCGCCTTGCACGGCGGCACCATTGCGCTGCAAAGATGTACCGGGAGAAGCGCTATCATTAGACAACTGATCGTAATTTCCAAAAGGCAAATATTCCCCTTCAGAGTCAGAATCGGCGAATAACATTTGCAACACATCCTCACGGTACAACTTTTTATTAGCCATTTGGCGATTTTCTCTCACAAATCTCACAATTTACTCAGACGCTCTGAAATGAACTGCTTCCGCATCAATGACACGATAGCTCACTTGCTCTGCTATTAGCTTGAACACTTTGAATAGGAACATGACGTCATTTTGGTCTAGAATCGAAGTACTACATGTCTGCCATCTAGTGGTAGGGAATACAAATGAGATATTACACCATATTAGGATCTACAGCCTATTTGATTAAGTATGACGTCTTGTCGCAATTTTGCGACTTTGGCGCTTAGAGGGTTAAACGTCATGTCGGAATGAACCAACGAATTGGGATCCCTACCAAAGTGCCACTATTGCTGCCCCTTCCAGTGCTCTGTGGAAGCCAACAAATCCCCCCACACCTGATGGGGCGGAAGACAGGACCAGGCTTTGACAGAGAAGTGTACATCACTGCTGTTCTGAACAGTGAGACATTTGGAAAACACTGGGAAAGCATACCCCTGGAGGGGAATGCTATGGAGACCACATCCTGAATGTAAGAGGTATTATGTGGAAATTACGCATATGGACTGGCCAATCAGGGCAGTGCATCATATGGAATGTCCCTGTGGTAGACTCAGCCTAGCTTGGGTGAAATCATTACCGAGCAGAGATGGCAGAGCAGCTCTGCCAGGGAAAGACACAGGCTCACCATGAGGGAAGCAGTACCATGGAAGAATACACATGTGGGATCACCCAAAGTGGGAATCACAACACATGGTCACCTAGCCTAGCACAGGGGCTGACCTTGGGCAAACACACAAATGCCATGCCTGGCATCTGGCGCTCCACCACACCTGACTGCCAAGGGTGCTGGAGAAACTCCAAGCAGGGTTCTTCATGAGGGGAACTCACCTGTGAAGCCACTAAGCACACATATCCTGTCCGTAGAGGGTGATAGTAAGCGTGATAAGACACCGAGCTGGTCCTGGTGTTGCGTGTACTCGAGAGGACACAGGCTCTACACGGAGATTATAGAATCTCACACATGTGCTAGGTGTCGCCCAGCCCACAGCTCTACAGATATCTGCTATTGAGGTGCCATGCGCTAATGGCCAGGAGGAAGCAACACTCCTCGTAGAGTGAGCCCTAGGGGTCATGGCTGGTCCTGAGCTCGATAAGCCAGGACTATAGCATCAACTATCCAGTGGGCGAGCTGTTTGGAGACAGCCTTTCCCTTCTGCTGTTCCCCCAAGGAGACAAAAAGCTGGTCTGAAGTACTAAAGCTCTGTGTACAGTCCATGTATAAGCGCAAAGCGTGAAAGGGACAAGGCAAGGCAAGTTGATTTGTGTAGCACATTTCATACACAATGGTAATTCAAAGTGCTTTACATAAAAGAAAGTAAAATAATCATAAAAAAATCATCACAACAATAAAACAAGGAATTAAAAAAAATTGAAAATTATTTATAAATTGATTTAAAATTAATTTAAAACAGTTAAAATAGAAAATGAGTATACATAAAATACAGCGCAATCAGTCTGGATGTCACACAGTGCTCATTCAATAAATGCACAGCTAAACAGAAGAGTTTTGCATCTAGATTTAAATGTG